TTTATTTGAGGATGCATATCTTTAAAATATATAATAATAATAATAAAAACTATTGCCAAGCGAAAGCAACCTAATAGGCATAAATTTTAGAGTAATGCTAGGGGTACACCAAAAGGTGTACTCCAAATGTACACCACTCACTTCTCTACTACCCATTTTTATTTTATTTTTATTTACTTATTTTTTTTAAATTTTTTGCTTTTTTTTGTGGACAAAGAGGGGGTGGGGGACAAATGGGGCACACATTTAGTGTACCCCTAGCATTTTTCTAAATTTTATTTGAAAAAGAGCAATGTTAGGGGTACACCTTTGGTGTACTCCATTTGTCCCCCACCTCTCTCTCCACCACTCAATTTTATTTTTATTTATTTAATTTTTTTTAATTTCTTACCTTTTTGTGGTTATGGAGGGGTGGGAGACAAATGGGGTACACCTTTGGTGTACCCCTAACATTTTTCTTTGAAAAAATAGTCATTTTTCAAAAAGACATGCGAATGGATGGAGGAGGTTGTAACATTAAGTGATGTGGGGTATGTGTCCTGGTACTTTTGTTTGTTTTTTTAAGAGTAATAATAAATGTTTGAAAAATGCTAGGGGTAGACCAAAAGTGTACCCCATATATCCCCCACCCCCTCCTTGTCCACTAAAAAAGGCAAAATAATTAAAAAAAAATAAGTAAATAAAAATCAAATAAAAATGTGTGGTGGAGAAGGGGGTGCTGTACATTTGGGGTACACCTTTTGGTGTATCCCTAGCATTGCTCTAAATGTTTTGTGTTATTTATTCTCTTTAGTCCTAAAAATCTTTCTTTGGTTACAAATTAAAGATAATTTAAATAAGAGTTTATTGCAGCGTCCCCCCTCGTGGTTTCCTATATGTTCATCGGTGCCCCCTCTACTTTTAAAACTTACTCCATTCCCCCTTCATTTTAAAAAACCCTACATCAATGCCCCTTTAGCCGGCACAGTTAACCGAACTAAACTCTGTTGATATTACACAGCCTCCACCCAAATCTGTCTGAACTCTTGATGCGCCGTTTCCTCCACAAAGGTATGCTTTCTCTTAGATTTTCTTTCTTTCTTTCTAAATGATTTCTTTCTAACTTCTTTATTTCGGTGGAATTGTGCTTTAATCCACAAATTGGGTTTAATTTAGGTTCATCACATCTCTTTTTTTATATAATAACATTAGGGTTTTTTTTAATGAGGGTGATTTGATTTCAAGATTTATTTGATACGAGTAATTTTTTCATAGATTATTTTCTTTTTTTGTTGATGTAGATGAATGATATTGTGTGTAATATTGATATGGGGGGTGTTGAGATTCAAGACTTTGGTCTTCTTAATGAAGACAATGATGGTGATGGGAACGAAACAGAGGTTGAAGAAGTTGGTGACAATAATGAAGAGAATACATATGATGTTCGTTTTGATCAAGTTCTTGAAGCGGAGGAGGGACTTGCAGATGTCCCTGAATTTTTCTTTGAAGATGTTGAGGGTTCTGATGAGGAAGATATTCTTGTTGAGGTGCCAACTAAGAAGAGTAATAAGGCTAAATTAGTGGAAATGAAGAGGAGAGAATATCAATTGTTGCATCCACCAAAAAAGAAACATGTCAACCA